TGCAAATTGATTGATGTTATACATCTGGCATAAGGTAACTTCTTAAAAGTTCAAGACCAAGCAGAACACACTGTATTGTATTACAAGTAGTAGCAACTCTTTGGTATTTCACATTAAAAACAGAACTCTCATCAGGTTTCTCTAAATTCTTTTGAAAGCAAATTTTGTCCTAATAGAAAGCATAATCTGGGCCAGCTGGAAATTTGAATACCAGAGTCTTATGTGTACCATTACAGTTTCAGTGAGGACACTGCACTTAGGACTATACTAAGGCTTGTGCCTGGGGATTAATACTCTGAAAAAGCAATCAAATAGAACAAGATAAGTTGAGTTGTTGAAATGGGAAATTTCAGACTCATCAATGCAGTGAAATCATGTACATATGCTTCTCAGAGTTACTTGCCCTCATCTTTGAGAGTTGCTTTGGCTTAGTCCATCAGCACTTCTGACCTGTTTATTGGAATTTCTCATGCTTTTTTCTCTTATAATATTGGGGAGTTTGTGGTGCTTGGAGATCCCAGGAAGACAAGAATATTTTCAGACAGAAAAAGCTGAGATGCAGCTGAATTTAAACACATGTATAATGCTAGTTCCAACATCTGAGTGCAAGTCATGAATAGAGAAGTGATGACTAAATAGGTAGATGAAAATAGTGGTATAAAGGTACCTCCTAGGATTCCTCCTCTGGAATAAAACCAGGACTGTACTCCATAGTGGGGTTAACATATTGCAATGGGGGAAACAAGAACCTCATACTGCTTTCTCCTATGGCCTTACTTTTCCCTTGTCATAGCTTTATTCCTATTTATTTGCACACTAGACATGTCACCCATTTAAAGAATTAGGCTGCTGGGTTGGAATCCTTGCTTTGCCGGTTAGTTTCTTCACGAGCTTTGCCAAGTTGCTCAATATCTCTGTACTTCAGTTTCTTCATATATAAATTGAGAAGATGAGTATTTTCGTGGAGGGTCGTTGAAGGAATTGAATGACATAATAAAGGTAAAGTTATAGATCAGTGATTGTCCCATAGTATGTGTTCAATCAATAACAGTTGATATATCACTATAATGCAGCATGTGTTTGATGATTGAATCAATCAAGAGCTGTGCAAATTGGAAAAAATTGGTATTACCTACAAAGATCAACAAGGCTGTAAGGCTGTGCCACGGTGCTGATCCTTAAAGAGTGGGTGGGTTTCCAGGCAAAGAAAAGAAAAGAATATCACAAATAGTAGGAAGAGGTAGCTGAACAAAGTAGTCCAAAATGGCTAGGTCCCAGTGTTCCAGGAAGAAGATGGTAGGGACATATATTCTATTTCCTTAAATACAATTGGAGCTGCAGTCCCCACATTTAGAAACAAATCATGTTTTCAGAAGAGATATCTTGGTTTGAACATTTGGCTTCTCTCTTGACACATGGTCAATTGTTTACATGTTTGAGTCTCCTACCTGATCTTTGGAAGCACTGGTAGAGCAGTAGAGAAGTGAGACAGGGAAGGAAAGGAAACCAAAAAGGGTGTGACAATGCAGGTTACCACTGTGTGGAATTTTGCCTCAATCCCGCCTGCTGGGGATCTCTAAGTGAATAGAGCAAGGCTCAGATTCACCCTACCTGAGGGGTGAGGAACCTGGAGTATTTATCTACCAGTTTATGTCAGTCTCAGATGAGGCTGCTCCTGGAGGTGTTAACTCTGTAGCACTCCCGCCTGTCCAGCATGCAAGACAAATATGCTTCATGCACCCAGAGAACATTTTAAGGCAGAGCTGCAGGGATTTCAGGGGATTGCAATGGAGGCCATATGCTGAGGGCGTATGGACACTTCCTTTGCTATGGCCTACCATAGCCCATACTTTGCACTACCCAGATTCACTCATGCTGCAGGTTAAGTTCATTCTGTCCTTTCATTGATTATTTTAGGAGGTCACTTGTCACAATTCCACAAGAGAGAGAAAGAAAGAGAGAACTTACAAGAGGAGGCCTATAGTCTCAACTGTTGTAGTTAATCTTGAAACCATAATCGATATTTGTCGTTTCCCTCCTTTATTACCTCCATGCCCTCAACCAGACTGCTTCTCGTCTAGGTTCATCGTGTGGTGCAATAACTCAGCCTTTTATCCCTGAGAGAATGAGTCCCTGGTTACTTGTCCTCATTAAGATATTGTTGCTGCCATTGCCCTTTCGTTTCTCACCAGGGACGCATCAACAGACAGGCCAGTGAGTTGCATGATTTCCAGACATATTCCTCCCTGCCCCATTATTTAGCAGCAACCCTATGTCCTCCTCATAATCAGGATGAATTACCCCTGTTTGTATAGTAACTGCCTTCTCTGACTGCTGGCCTGTGGGCATAAGAGCCCAGAAGAATCAGGCAGCAGCTGAAGCTGTAGATTTACTGTGTGCCCTGGTAGACATATCAAGACTTCTAACTCTGCAGAACTGGAAGTTGTAAAAAGGGGAAGGCCACTTGCTTTTTCTTTTAAATTTATTTTATTGAAGTATAGTTGATTTATAATGTTGTGTTGATCTCTGCTGTACAGCAAAGTGATTCAGTTATACATATATAATACATACACATTCTTTTTCATATTCTTTTCCATTGTGGTTTATCATAGGATATTGAATATAGTTTCCTGGGCTATACAGTAGGACAGGAAGCCCATTTACTTAAGTGGAGTTTTTAAAGAGCTAGTGGGAGGCTTCATTCCTACTTCCACCTTTCGATGATAGCTATTCAGGACTCAGCACTTCCTACACTAACATCATTTAATAGTACAACCACATCTTGAACCTTAACCATGTAGGGTGTCATTCCCAGAAAAACACAACAACATATTTACAATCTCAAACCTGGTCTACAGAGAACAGTCATCACTGAGCTTCTCACTGAAGCTGCCATACCTCTCTGGGGACATTCCTTATTGCTTTAGTGAAGGGAGTGTCTTCTGGACTCTCCTGGGAAACATAATCAACCTGTAGTTTCTCTGACATTACAGAATAAATACATTATAACATGCCCACCTCTCTGAGACCTTGTTATTCTTCTCCAGGGCTTTGCCAAGGTAGTTCTGGCAACTTCACATCATTTATTTTAGGCCAACATTCTGTCCAAGCTTCAAGGGGCTATTCCAGTAGCACATTGGGATCAGCTCCAGGCATACTTGCCAGAATGTTAAAAATTAACTCACGAAAGAGTGCTCTCACAGAAATAATGATCTGGTCTTACATTCTGTCCTCCCTGATCTAGCATCTCAAGACCAATTCCTTGAATGTTTTCCAGATACCTACTAGCATTTACTAGCCAGGTTCTGTAGTTCACTTGATTAATCATCCATTTCCTCCTACAACATAGGTCATACTTTTCCACTCAAGTCATACTGAGACTTGATCCTAATTGTTTGTCCGGAAGCAATGAGGGGAGATGGGAGCAGAGCTTGAGAAGGGAAATATCACTATATAAAACATCCTACTGAGGTGAGGCTTTAACATGGTAATTGACTGTTCTCCAACTGGAAGGGGTAAGGGCCTGTTTTTCTGGAGCAGAGTTTCAGAAGATTCTCTGGGTTCAAGACTCTTAAGAGCATCTACCCAAATATCTCCTCCGATGTTTCAGTGTCTGACTCTCCCTATAAAGATCCTGATTATAGTGGAGACTTGCTAGCTCTGTGAATTCGGTCTCCTTTATAATTCTGCTTTTCCTAAAATCAAATCTTAGGCCCGATTTTCAGCATGGTCTATCCTGTAGCTGAAGGAAACGAAGGTCATTTTGATTGTTGCTTCGAGGTCTTTAAACTTTTACACCAAGTCTTGAGTTAAGTGTTGGCTCACCCAAGTCTGTAATTTTTTTCCCTATGGAGTTTTATGGAAGTTAACTCTGCAATCTCATGTCTTTCAAATACAAGAGCAATAGGATTTTACTTCTGTCTGTATTCTATCCCAATCCACCTCATGAGAGTCTTAGTAATTATGGTGCTATAGCCTGCCAGGGATTAACTCCCCTACATTATCCACCAGCAAGGGCATCCCGGCTACCACCTGGTAGTGAATCATTCAGTTCAAACGCTGATATTGAGGATCTGCTTCCTAAACCACCTCTGTCCCAACTAACTTAGGCGAGGTTTGGGTTCCCATATAAGGCCCTGAAACAGGATTTGAGTGAAAGCAGTTTATTTGGAAAGTGACCTAGGAAGCACCAGTAGAGGAGTGGGGAAGTGAGGAAAGAAGGAAATGAAGCCAATAAAGGATACAGCAGGTGGGAAGTTTTCCCCTGTGGGAACCAAGGACTATTAGTACCACTGGGGTTGTCTAAGAGGCTGCATAGAGCATGCCTCAGAACTGGTCTTCCCAAGAGACAAAGAACCTAAGGTATTCACCCCCCCAGTCCCTGCTATCATTGGTTTTGGGCTGCTCTGGAGACATTAACTCACTGGTCTGCTTGCCTCATGCATCAAGGGCTCCAGAGGCCAGAGAATGCCCTTAGGGAAAGGGTCACAAAGACAAATAATAGGAAGCTGTGTGGTTGGTACTTATGGAAACAATGACTGCCAAGATAATATGGAGAGGATACCCAAAAACATCGGTTACAAAGCTCCTGTGAGTGCATTACGAATATTAATGAAAAATAGTGCCTTTAAACAGTAGTAGCTACCTGCAGCATACCTGCACCACAGCCATCGTGTAAAGCAAGATATCACCATGCATAGTTTAGTTGTTTCTCTGTATGTTGATTAGCTTGGCACCTTTCCTGACCAGAATATATGAGGATATATTCCTCTGCTTAACCAAAAACGTGTATATGTACTGCTTGCTTTCCTGACCTAAATGCCAATGTGAACTGTAGATATAGATGCTTTGAATTCATCTGCGTTTTAATAGTACCATTCCTTTAAGTGCATATCTCGCATCTCTTTTTTGAAATTAAATTTTAGAAATGGGTCTTGAGAACTATGGACACACAGTCAACAAAAATGTTTAGAACACTAAGAAACTTAAGGCACTTGCAGAAATAAGGAAACAGCATCTTTTAATGTTTTATTTTCACTTGTGAAAATATATATAATATGTATTACACGCACAGAAGAGTCCCACAGCTTGAGTGGGACTAAAAGAGAAAGCTAAAAGAAAGGCACATACCAGGGGCAGTCTTTTCATAAAGTTTTCAGTTAAACCAACATTCAGGGCATGGCAAGGGACAGTAAAAGCAACAAAAGCACAGGAAGCCTGTGTACATGACTCTGAAGAGCTAAATCAGAGACAACTTTAGGTCTGTTGAGAATTGAGGTCATCTCTGGAGAAAATATTGTTTCTACTTAGTAGGCCTGTCAGACCAGCAGAGGATGTACTGAAATCTGAACAAAGACACCAGGGGCAAAGTGAAAGCCAATGCTTAACTTGACAGCTAGCCTGTTCTTCTCGCCCTTCTCTTTCAGACCTGAGGCCTTGGCTGACTCAGAGAAGCAAATAACCGGGCCGACTCTGGCCCTGCACAATTATGGTCAGCTACAAGACAGAATTTTCTCACAGACTAAATATTTTAAAAGCTTGTAAACACTGTGCTGATGCTGAGAAAAACATAAAAAGAACATTTGCTATTTCTCTTAGAGGAAAGATACAGGCACAGATCTTTGGCCTGCCCCAGGTGTATCCCTATCCTGATATTTGCCCAAAATGGTAGGAACTGAGACACAATTCATGAGATGATTGGATCACTTCCATCATATGCCAGCACAGGAGCCTACTAGGATTTAGCACAGCTGGAGCAGCTGACAACCCTGGGAGATGTGAGATGGGGCTTCACGATGTCAGGCTGAATGGATTCCATCAGGTCACACTCGCTCGCAAGTATATGTTTCACCAGGCATCTGGAAGCTTCATCAATGTTGATATTTTCCTAAGGGGAGAAAACAGCTCTTATTATTCAATATTCTACAATGATGCTATGGCAGATGTTTATATGAGACAAAAGGGCGGTATTTAAATATCTCTTCCTAAACCCTATCCATGCATCCTCTTTCTATTCCCTTCACTCTCGTTTATTACCTCTAAGAACTTTACTCTTTAGCCCTTCACAAAAGTAAAAGATGTATTTGTTTTGTCACTTAGGAGGAATAGTGCTTGGTGGGCTCACTTAGTAGACTGAATTTAAATTAGAGGGCAATTTTCTTATTTTTACATACTCTTACATTATAGAATAATATTGTAGACGACACAGTAAGTCTTCAATGTAAATTAGGCTCATAATTGCACTCTGCCACATACTACTTTTGTGACCTTGATATGAAATAGGAATAATAAGACACCTCTTGCAGCAGTCATTAGTGGTTTCACAAGTACTTCTGGCTCTCTGCCTTCCGGTCAAATGGTAGGAGTGCCCTGCTCAGACCTCTTTGAAGTTAGGCATGGACATGTGACTTTCATGGGACAATGAAATGGGAGGATAAATGATGTGCCTCACTTTCACTTTCGTGTGGAAGCAATAAGAGACAATGCTCAATTCACCTTGTTCTTTTCTCCCTGCTTCTGCAAACATAAAAAGCACAGAGACGGAAATTCTCTTGGCCTAAGTCTACGAACGAGGTTCAAAAAGAGCCCAGTATCCTATGATGATTCATGTAGGAGGAATGAGAATTATGACTTTAAGCCACTGAGATTTGGGGTTGTTTATTACTGTGACATTACTTAGACAATCCAGGTGGACATAACTCTTCAAAGAAAAATATGAAATCAGAAATATGAATCTAGTTTCAAGAATGAACTAAGCTTCAACTTGGAGAAAATATGGAACAAACCTTTGAATCTAAAATATATTGTTTCATTCTTGGGAATCCATTCCATGGCAATAAAAGCATTTGTGCCTCAGGAAAGATGTACAAGAATGTTTATTGTAGAAATTTTCATAACCGATAAAGAAAGAAAACAGAAAAACTGGAAAAGCTGAGGACGCTCATGAACAGGAATGGAATACACACAGCATGGAATATTATGCAATAGCAGAACATGGATGAACCTTGAAAACATCATGCTAAGTGAAAGAAGCCAGCCACGAAGGACCACATGTTGTACGATTCATTTACATGAAATGTCCAAAATAGGCAAATCCAAGGAGACAGAAAACAGATTGTTGGTGGTTGGCTAGGGCCGGGTGGGGAGAGGGGTTGTAGGGAACTGGAGTGATTGCTAGTGGATGCAGGGTGAGTGGCGTTTCCTTTCGGAGTGATGAAAATGTTCTAAGATTGGTTGTGGTGATGCCTGCGCAACTCTGGATATACTAAAAACCATTGGATTGTACGCCTTAAAGGGGTGACTTGTACGGCATATGAATTACATCTCAATAGAGTTATAGGAAAAGAATGAGATTACTGGGTCAAATATATATATATATAGTTTATTCAGTAACTATAGATTAAGTTGCCTTTTCTCTGCTAGTCAGAAAACTGAGAAATACAGAATATTTATTACTAATATACTAAACAAAAAACCTTGATCTCTTGTAAAGTCAGATTTGACTGTCTTTATCACAATTTGTAGAACTTCTCTGATGTGTCTCCTTATATTCAATGGAAAGAGAGAACATTTTTGTCAAACTGTTTTGCCCCCAGGCCTTGTTGTCCAATCTGAAGTATAACTACTTATACCTAATCTTTGTATGTATGTCAGCGTTGCTGATATGTTTTGAGATCATTGCATGAAATCATATTACATGGAAAATGTATTGCATGAAATCATATTACATGGAAAATGTAAGAGGTAGTGATGTTTTCCAAATGGTATCTATGGCTAATGCAATTAGGTGTAAATATTCATTAGCACATTTCCGATCATTCAAGCCCAACCCTGAGCTCACTTGCTATGAAAGCTTAAGGTAACTTTTCAAGTTCCAGAAATAACAAACCTCTCCCATTTACAGAGCCTTAATAAAAATTCCTCTGAGGGTTTCTAAATCTAAAACAAGGTGACGTTCTGGTTGCTTTTTTGTTTGTTTGTGATGTTGTTGTTACTCGTTTTTATACCAGACCAGAATTCACGTCTCTGAGCTTCCCTTTCCTCATCTAGATGACGTTCTCGATGAGAATACTCGATGAGAATTCTCGATGAGAATCTAATAAAAAATTGCTTTTCTTTATGGGATGCAGGGGTTATTGGTGCTTTCACAGTGCCGGGCACTTCATATACATAATCTTATTTAAACCCATTTAAAGCCCTATAAGACAAGGATTAGTTTTTTGTTCTTATTTATTCTGTTGTTATTGTTGGGGTAGAGGTGAGAGTGACCTTTCTCCCTTCAGCTGAAGTATCTGCCTTATGCCATGGAAACCAGTCCATAGGGAGTAGCCATACTTCTGCCCTCTTCCCATCGCCCATGCTCACCATGCCTCTGTCACTTTTCTTCCTCCTAGTATCAGGCCCAGGGATCACATTGAAACTACCTGCTCCCAGGAAGTAATCTGACGTAGGCGGAGTCTGGATCAGTGCTTTGCTCTTGGGTCCAGCCACTTGTTTACATGATCAGTTAGAAGCCTGGCCCATGGTCTTCCACTGCCTCTTATTCAAGGAAAGTGGGGAAGTGTAGCCTCACTTAGCCTCCCAGGCCTTGGCCTCTAGGGCCAGCACATCTCACTAAAGAAGCTCTAAATTTGGGGGGTCTGAAGGTGCTTTCCTAGCCATTAATAAACATACACTTTGATTCTCTTTTGCCTATTGCTTGTGTGTTGGGGAACGAGCAACATCCCACCCCAAATACCAAACACAGGATATCATCGTATCTGTTTACAGGTAAGAAAACTTAAGTTTAGAGAGATTAAGAGACCTCCCCCACAAAAGCATGCAGCAGATGGGTTTGAGGGCCAGAACTCACACCCAGGTGTTTCTGACATCAAAGCCTGGCTCTTACCAAGCTATATTCCTTTTCAAGACTGTTTTGAAAATCAAGTGCAATAACAAATAAAAGTTCTTACTACAGGGTTAGGCCCAGTGGGTGCAAAATAAATCTTAGTCCCCTTCTCTTTCATAAAGCAAGTTTTAAGCATCAAAAAGGGCCTTCCTTCACATACAAGTTAGATTTGACAGTAGTATATTTAATACCTCCACTCAAATATTAACATCATAGTTAAATAGGGTTTTCTTTCATTAATGTACAAATTGGCAAAATCTACTAATGAAGAGGGTGAAGTGTGGACAAATGAATGAAAATCCATCATCATTATGAGAGAAAACAACTAAACCTAAGCCCAATTGGTGGCAGCCTAGCAGGATCATTTTAGTAAAAGATAAGACGATGCTGGTGAAATTGTGACCTTTAACCCACTGAGTAAAGGCTGGCTGGTGTTAGGACTAAGGCAGGAGATTATGCAGGATGGGGCTCTGGACCAAGGAAACCATCAGAACCAAGGAGCGGCTGTACCTGCTTTCAGATTTTATATAGGAACAGGGTAGCAGTTCATGATGACTGAGTCACAGTCATTCAATTAATATTATTTAGAGTCCCACTAAGCTCCTTGACTGAGCTTATATTAGCAAGGTAAACAGCAGAGATATATGGTTGGAAAGGGCATCTGGAGCCAGGTTACTATAGAGCCTTGAATGCTAAGTTGGCCAGAGAGAGTCACGGAGGCTTTTTTGCAACTGAAGTGTCAATAAACACAATCCGATACTAGACAAAACTATATGGACCCTTAGCACTCTTTTTAATTACTTAATCTTTCAGTGAGCACTTAGGAAATACCTATCATGTGTACCGTGGTGCTGGTTGCCATGGCATACCTATTTCAGATTGGAACCTTCAAGAGGAAGCCAGGAAGAGGAACAAGGATTTATACTGATCACATGCTTTCTACAAAAGGGTACAATGTATAGTGTCTAGAGGACAGGTCTGAAGCCAAACTCTAATCTCAGCTCCCACTTCCTGCTTGTGTGACCTTGGGAAAACTGTTTCAACCACTCCACTCCACACCTTAGTTTCCTCCTCTGTAAAAAGGGAATCAAGAGATCTACTTTAGAGGCAATTTAAAGTTAATACATGTTAATACTTAGAACATGTGAGACACTTAGAACAGTGAAGGGGATAGGGCATACATTCAATAAATGTTATCTCCATATTCTCCTCACTTAATTATCAGGAGAACAGGAAAATGTGTGTATTCTATTCCTTCACTTTGCAGCTGAAGAAACTGAGATTGAGCAGGCATAAGTGGCTGGTCCCAAGACACACACTGTTAAGTGGTAGGGCCAGGTATGAGTCCAGGGAGAACAGTAAACACTAATATTTGCCCTGATCTTTACTATACACTCACTACAGAAAGGCAAGATGTATAGTGTTTAGGGCATATGCTTGGAGCCCCTTATCTCAAGTCCCCCTAAATACTTCCCCCAAATAAATAAAGGAACACAGCATGGGCAGGGTGTGTGTTTCCAGCATTAAAAGGGTAAGAAAGGGCTTCCCTGGTGGTGCAGTGGTTGAGAGTCCGCCTGCCGATGCAGGGGACGCGGGTTCGTGCCCCGGTCCGGGAAGATCCCACATGCCGCAGAGCGGCTCGGCCCATGAGCCATGGCCGCTGAGCCTGCGTGTCCGGAGCCTGTGCTCTGCAATGGGAGAGGCCACA